TCATATTAAATTCTTGTCATTTGTATTGCCCATTAATTATTCTCTGACTTTGTTTCACTTTTTCAATCATCAATACTAAATAGAGTATACCTTGCCTTACATCGGTAATTGATTCCAGGAAAGCGACGTAAGTCGAATCTACTTGTCACTAGGCTAAACCATAAATTACCATTCCCAGTTCTGTATTTTATTTATTAATGCATTTTTAATAATATATGGTTAATAAGGATCTATTTTAAGCTTACAAACAAATAAATTTTAGTTTTTAATATAGTACAGAAAAAAGTAATCTAAATTTACGAATGCATGTACTGTAAATACAGTATATACTTGTAAATGTATATATTTTAATATGATCTTATGTGCTTTAAATGCTTTTATAGTGATATTACGACTTCAATATTTGTGGCGGACAGACGTAAAGTTGAATAAAATGACTTAAACTTGATTTTATTTTTCCATATACTTTTTTGACAAATGATGAAACTCAAAACAACGTAAGTCAAGGTATACCTGTACTGGCATTAATGAATTAACCTTACATTTTCTATATTTATGCAACAAAGCCCAGCCCCTTCTTACAAACTTTATGAACCTCCCAGCATTGCTTTCCTATGGACAGTTATTTGTGGCACACCCTGTATATATAATTTATTAATGTTATACTTTAGTTTGTTTTATTTTGTCAAGTAACCATCTATTGGTAAACATTTCTTCTGATCAGTTAAAAAGTTTTTTGCTTTACAGTATTTTATCTTATTTTATTTATTACTTTTTCTTAGACAATCAGACTACAGACTAGTATGATATTAAGCATTATTATATAAGATTTATTGTTATTTAGTAAGATTCTAAGGAAATTTGTAGTAGTAATCAACTAATATTGTAGGAGGATCACCTAAAATTTTTCAAAGGGTGAACACTGATTTATAACATAAATGTCTATACATTATATTATAGAAATGTAGATATTATAAACATTGTATTATAACTTAGTAAAAAGATTTAATTGATAATAATAGATATACTATCAATATTTTCAGAACTTAGCCAAAATATATATATATATCAATTCTTTATTGTCCATACATTTTTAATCATGTTGTCACTAAATTTTTAATTGATTAAGGTTATGTAGAAATATAGAAATTAAAAGTTATTTTTAAACATTATAGCTAATTGAAGATATTACTAAAACATAACTGGTTAACAAAAATGAAACCTAAGACCTATCATTAACAGATTGAAGTTTGGTTAGTAAAGTAAAAAAATGATCTCATTAGGGATAAAAAATTTTTATAAGTATGATTATTATTACAATTTAGCATATAATTTGCACATTTCAGTAAGGATTTTAATAATGATTATCTACTTCAGATTATTTTCAATTTTTTTCCAGTTGTGGCTCCTTTTGAGCTTTTCTCAACTTTCTTGGCTTCCCCATCATTTTTTTATTCCTCTAAAATATTCCTCTTTTATTAATACCTATCAATGTAGATGTATTTTCTGATTTCTTGGTGGTTCACAAGTGAAATTAAAAAAATAAACAATTAAGGCTTATATATTTTTATTTATACAAGAGTAATATAGAAAAAAAATAAAGATAATATTAAACATTGGATAAATAAATAAAAAACACAAAAAAGAGAAAGCAAAATTAAAGTATTAAAAATAAATTTACAATTAAAAACAATTTCTTGTTTTTAATTGTAAATTTATTTTATAGTATTAACTTTATTTTTAATACTGAGTAAAGAAGTATAATGAATATTAATAAATTGAACAACAAAGCAAGCATATTAGTGATGAATAAAAATGTTTCTATGAGAAAATTTATTTATTATAAATTAAAAAATCTAAGAATGAAATATATATTTAAAATTAATACAAATTGAAGACTGAATACAAATTCTCCACAAATATTTTTTTTCCAAACATACTTGACTGCTATTGATGCATACAAGAATTGTATACTTCAACAACTAGGGCTGAACTGAAGGGTAGTAAAGTAGAGAAAGCTTTTCCTGCTCTTAGCTTTAATTGTCTGTGATTGCTAATTTCCATGTGCATCTTTCTTGGAAGTTTTGCACCAATAAATAAAACCCTTCTTTTCAGATAGTATTGAATTTGTGGTTTCACTATTCATAAAAAACATAAAATAAAAACTTTTAAATAATGTAAATTCTTAGGATGTAGTATAACTACCCCAGATTTTGTTGTCACTATTGCCTGTCAAAAAAAATTGAATTGTATCATCCCCCTTTCAATTTTCTGCAATTTCCTTTTCATTTATTTCATCCTGTGGCCACCCTTCAGTCGTCTGTGACCCCGAGGGATCTCTTCAGCCCACATTGAGAATGGTTGATCTACTTCATCTTTTAGTATACAGTTAGAAAGTAAATAAATTATTAGAAATATAAGTATTTTATTTTCATTAAATTTTATATTATACAAATATATGTCAATTATTTATAAACTACACAAATGTTTGTTAATTATGAATATACAATTTCAATCAAAATAAGGCTAATTGTTTTTAAAAATTCAGAATAATTTGTATAAATATTATCTCAAAGTCAAGAGTCTGCTGTCAGAGTTACTGCTGTTTACATTTGTTGTAAATGGTAATAAATAATGTAAAATAGTTATGCATAGTGATATAATGAGTTTTCATGAAAAAATCATTTAATATATTTGATTTCATGTAGTATAATAATAATAATAATTTCTTATTAATTAAAATTTTTATGTAGAAAATGTGATATTGTACAGTACCTATCAGTATACCATAATATTAGGATTTCAAGATTGAAAACTTTTATATTGAATAATGAAAATTTTACACACATATTGTTTTCATTATTCTAGCAAATATTACATTATTACACTCATTTATTTTAAATTCCTGAAAATATCTTTTATTTTTTGATAATAAACCATTCCGAGAATATTTAATTTAAATACCATACTTGAATCTTTATACTGTAGATGAATTCTATTACTGTACTTATTTCAAATTTCAAAAGTATAGTTAATGATTTAGCAAACTAAGTAGTATAGATGTGTAATAGATGCTTATATTATGTTAAATGTTGAATTAAAGTTAAAATGCAATAATTTCACAATTTTATTAATCAAATTTATCAAGTTTTTAGCCCTGCTGTCAAATGAATCAAATATTCATTTTAATGAATTGCCTTAATTTATTGTTTTTACCAATTATATTAAAAAATATCAATCTGTTAGATAATTGAAAGTTTTTAAAAAGTGTTTGCAAATATCAAATAGACATGGTATATTTTAATATAAATTTTCTTGTAAATGGACATTGATAAAAAATTAATATCTAAAATACTATGAATTTATAAAGCTAGTATGAAAATTTTTATTCAGACATACATCATAGTTTTAAAATAATTTTATTTAAATCAAATAACATCTTAACATCTAAATAGTAACTTTTAATATATAAAATTGTTAAATATCATTCAATACATAAGTAGATGTTTTAAATCTAAATCAAATAAAATGAAAATTTTTAATTTGAATCAAGTAAAGCTTAAAATTCTATGTATTATATATTATGACTTTATTGCATATTAAGATTTTATTTGATTTAATATATATGCTCTCCACCAGAAATTAGTAGTGGCTTGCCCCTGTACATCATACTTTTCCTTTAACAATAGAGTCGTGCCAGTCATCTATCTAACACCTTCCAGGGGAAAATTTTTGAATTTGAATAAGATGACTTCTGGTTTACGTCGAAAGTTCATGTATAGTTAATCGGGGTCTTCTGCCCCTAAAGTTTCTATATCTGGTCTCGTCTTTCATCTATCTAAATCCATTCTCGAGATTAAGGAAAGACAGATGGAATAAGATTAAATCGTCCTTTTAAAAATACCAATTATTGTACAAAAATTAAAAACAAAAAAATGTTACAACGGTTCTTGACGTACAAAATTTTTGATAAAAGTCCTGTTGAGTAGTAAAACTTTTCCATATTTTTTGCATTAGCTATTAAAAGTTTTAACTAGTTTTCAACTCTAGTCTGTAAACTTAAGTAAAGTTATCCATGAACAAAAATTGATTCCGATTTGTTGAAAATCTAATCCGAGATTCGCTGATTGTGACGACAAAAGTTAAGATTAAGGAAATTGTCTTCGTTTTAAAATAAATGACAAATTAGTTTGACTGTAAACTAAATCAATTCTCTGAATGAAAACTCTTCTCAATTGCTTTCAGTTAATAACTCAACATCAATGAAATTTTGATATAGCAATTCTTTATTATTTATAATTAAATCTTTCAAAACAATTTACTAGAAATTTGTTTTTCTCGTTTTATTGTTTAATAATCCCATTACAAAAGAAATCAGGTCAAAAGCTTGTTTAGTCTTTGAGTTATTCAAGTTCAAAAAGTGTTTCTTGCATTGACATCGTTTAATTATTAAAGATAACGACTTAAATAGCGTATTTCTATGNATATATTAAATTAAATTTATAAAAATTAAATTTATGAAAAATATTTGGAGATGGAGATTGCTTCAATTTTCAGTAACAAAATTACTGTACTATTAAATTTCTAAAGAACAGAAAGCATTTAAACAGGATTCTTGAAAAGCTGTTTAACTTGTATATAAAATATTTTTGAATTTAAAATATCCTAAACTCAAAAATGTTTTATAGTTGAAAATTTTTTTAAGTGTAGATGGAGATAAATTATTTCATAATATTTTTTAAAAAATGCCTGACTTTTATAAAAACATTTTTTAAATTTTTGTTTGTTGTTTAACAAAAATGTTTTTCTAAACAATAATGAGGTCTTTCTGAATATAATGAGGAAAGATTTTATAAATTTGCATTACTGGTATTTAAGTCATTTTTAAAAGATGACTTTATATTTGTTAAAATTATTATAGAGTATTCATAAATACATAATTATATTTCCATTTGATTTAATATCTAAACTCAATTTAATTAATGCTGCTATACTTTTAGAATGGAATAAAGAAAAACTGGGATTTGATGAGGACTCATGATAGGTAACTTAAAATTTTTCAAATATATAAATAATACAAATATTAATAATCTGTAATAAATATATACAGTTGAACCTGTCTATCTCAAACATGTTTATCTCAAAATTTATTTATTTCTCCTTCATTTTCAGCCTAAATTTTTCATGTTTATCCCAAATAATTTTATTCCAAAATCTCTATATCTCAAATATGGACTGAAGTATCAGTACAATTTCAAAGCTTAGCAACTGCATTTTGATAGCATAAATTGTAGTTGAGAAACATCTCTTGCAATTCAGCACATAATTGCAATTAATGTTACTTTTCTCTGATTGGCTATGAGTTTGGCTTGCATCTTATTGGTTGAAGAAAGTTGTGCATCAGAACTACTGACAAACTATTTCTGTTAAGATATGTCAAAAATGTTTTATTTATACTTGCTATTGTATTAATAAATTACCATATCTCCAATCAAACCAATTACTGTTTACTGTGTAGGAACCTCTATATCTTGAAACTTATTTCAAATTTTTTCTTGTTTACATGAGATTAAAGACAGGTTCAACTATATTTTCAAATAAATATTAATTTTTTGTAGAAATATTTAAAAATGTAATAAATTAAGTTTATTTTCTAATTTGATGATTTATGATCTAAATTATTAACACTGTATAATTTTGTTTTATAAATTATTCTTTCTTATCAATTATAGGTTATTTACTTTATAATAAATGTTGGGGAAACTTAATTTTTTTATAATTTTCTGAAATTTACAAGATAGCCTACTATACAGCAAACTATACAAGATATAAATCATTAAAATCAGCAGAAAAAATGTAATATTACTGGTTGAAATGTTTTTGGCTACACAACAATGTTTGAATATGTATAAACTTTAAAACTTAATACTTTAAATATATTACAGAATAAAATTAGAGATATAATACTAACACAGGAAAAATCATGTCTTTTATAACAGTGTTGTTATTGTATTTCATGTTGTATCTTCAATTTTATATAATATTTTTAATTTAATATGTTAACTTTTCAAATTTATATGTATTCAAAAGAATATCAACTGTAAATTTAAATCTACATTTAATTTTTATAATCAAACTATAGTGTAGGATAATGATGACTGGTTGTGCAGTTGAGTACCAGTTTAGTTTGAATAATTCCTAATTTATAAATAATTATAAAACCTTTATATTCCTCTCAGATTTTTATAACTAAGCTGATTTTTTGCCTCTACAGTTTTTCTTTATTTAATGCATAGTCCCCACAATCTGAAATTACAATATTTTAAGGAGAATACTGAGAAATATTGTGCCATATTTTTCATATGTAATTGTGTAATTTAATTACTACATTACTAGATATAGTAACTTATTAGGTATCAATTAAAATGGCTGATGTTATTTTACATTAAAAATACACAGAAAAAGTAAAATATTTCCATATCTCCATCATGTCCAACCTCCACACAAAACTGTTTTGCACATTTTTACAGAGGCATAGCCTCTAATAAAAGGCTGTCTCTGTAAAAAAAGACTGTTCCTGATGATTGGGCATGACAGAGATACAAAGACATTTTTAGTTTCTTTCATGTATTTTTACTATTATTAGGTAGTTTAGAAAGAAAATAGTTATTTTGATTAAAATAATTCAAATTAGACAAAATTGAAAAGGGGACACAAGAGTACTGCAACATATCCTGTGTCCTCTTTAAATACTCCACTAGTAAATGTTATTAATTGTTGTTATGCCACAAAAGTTGCTACATCTTTCTCTTATTACTTTTTATATATGATTTATGTTTTTGTAATAATTTTTATTCAGACATACATCATAGTTTTAAAATAATTTTATTTAAATCAAATAACATCTTAACATCTAAATAGTAACTTTTAATATATAAAATTGTTAAATATCATTCAATACATAAGTAGATGTTTTAAATCTAAATCAAATAAAATGAAAATTTTTAATTTGAATCAAGTAAAGCTTAAAATTCTATGTATTATATATTATGACTTTATTGCATATTAAGATTTTATTTGATTTAATATATATGTGTATATAAAAGAAAAATAATTAATTATCATTGAAATCTTTTAAAAACATTTTTTAAATGAAAAATAATTCAATTANGGCGCCTCAGTGGTAAAGAAAATTAAATGGTATAAATTAGGGGCAACCAAGGGGGCGCCATAATAGGATCTCGCTCCATCTTAAAACTTGCCTCGGGCCGGCACTAATTCCTCTAGTATGCAAAAGATGGTTGTCAAGTAAAGAAATTACAGTAAGAGACACTAGGGAAATAATACTAGTAAGATAACAGAAAACTATGTAAAAAAATATAATAATAACTTTTATTAAAAAAATGTCCATAAAATCATGTAGTCTGTCTTTGAAATCAATACATATATTATCAGTTTAAATATACAAATATAAACATCCATTAACCTGATTTTCGATTAAAGCCAAATGAACTGCTGGATTATATAAGGCTATAATGTGACTACTATGTAATAATTAAATACAGTATTAAGTAATTTTGCCTTAAATAAGTAAATTGATGCATCTGCACAGTATGTGAGAGTTTGGGTTTTAATCCAACTTTGGGCTGATTCTTTTCCAAAACTTTCTAAATTAAAAATTAAATATTAATTTATTTTTAATTATTAAATTTATCAAGAGATAACACCTAACCACCTCCCTCTAGGTAAAATTACATAATATTTAATTATTAAGTAGTAGCCATATTATAGCCCAATATATTCCAGTAGTAGCCCAATATATTCCAGCAGACTGTTTAGCCTTAATTAGTTTAATTATATATGTAAACAAGTTTTAAAATTCTTATAATTTAAAATGAACAAACTATTTCAAGAATGTAGATCTGATTTTAGTTTTAGATAAATTCAAGTTCATTTTAATTAAAATCTTAACAATTTTACTAGATTTACTTAAATAAAAGATAAAAAATGTACTTTTCAAGAAATTAAAATTTCACTTGAAGTGGAAAGAGTATTTCAAAAACTAATTAATTAAACATATTTCCATTTTTTTCTACCTAAATTTTTTCATATGTAATTACCAGAAAAATTGCATTAGAAATTAATTATATTTTATATATTTTTAATATTTCAAATATTAATACACAATTTGATTATTATTTATATTGGAAAGTTTTTAATTTAATGTAATTATTTAATAAATTCAGCAATGCATTTATTTAAAATTTTAAACTAAGACCTGGGAAATGTAAAAGTCAAAATTCAAAAGTCTTTGATTGTGTTGTTGATAAAATATTTAAATTTAGTTGCATATCAAATAATAATTGTTAATACTTTAACTTTAGTAATGAACAAGAGATATGAATTTTATAAATATAAAAGCAAATTCTATATTTTGGAATTTATTCACTTTAATAAACTTTACTGTTATATATTTAATTCAAGTTTAAATTATTGGATGTGAAATGATAATTCTGCTATGGAAACTACATATTAATTAATAAAAATGATTAAAGTCTTTGAAACTTTTGTAATTTTTAGTTTATGATTAAACATATGAAGGAATATGTTGTTGTTGTGGTTATGCTAATGTTTGTTTGAAAGAATAATAGCAAACATAAACTTTAAAACACAAAAAAAACTCAAACATTTATATACCTAATAATGCATATCTTATACATTAAACACCTGAAACTTTATGAGATAATAAAGTATTTTACATAATTATAGATTTATAAACTATTATTATTTGAGTGCTGTAGATTTAGTTCATAAGTCTCAAGAAAAAATTAATTTTTATAAAATTGTAAAATTGCTTTAAAAATTAATTGCTGTAATTTAGAAATCATGATTACTTTCTAGAGTAATAAAAATGACAGCAAAATAAGCATGTGTTTAGAATCTGTATATAGTTCTTTAAAATTAAGATAAAAATAGTCACTCATTTTGCATATAAATGAAACCAGTCATTGGCTCATGGTTCCTATACCAATTTATGAATCATACTTCCCTGATTCATATTATTTGCAACAATTTTAAATTATTAAATGATCATTTTAATTGTAATGTAATTTAATAAAATTATTAAATTCATTATTTATTTAAATAATTTTAAATGAAAACTAAAGTTAGTGATATTATTCACTGAAAATAGCAAGTAATGAAAAAATAAAGCAATTTCAATAACAACACAGAAACATAAAATTCACATCAGTAATTACACATCTCTCATGTAAAGTGCAGTTAAAAGAATACTGGAAAATGAAATATTTAGAACATAACATCAAAGAACAAATTTAAAGTATTATTTATTATTTACATTTAATTTTAATTAGATATTGAATTTAAATTAAAAAATAATTAAAGGGAAAAAACATTAGCAGAAAGAAAAGTTTTAACAACCATAAATATGATCTTTAATGTTTTTGTTTTTGATAAATAGCTGAAGTTGCTTATGTTAACATGCATTCTGTTCTCAAATTATGACTTTGAAGAAATTTATTATTTGGGATTAGTTAAAGTAAAATTACAAATAAAATTTAATTATTTTTTTCTACAGCGTTAAAGATGACTTTAAAATCTGATATTTTTCTTTGACGATATATTACATTTTCAATACTTATTACTTTTTGTTGAATTAACAGAAAATTGATATTAAAGATAAGAATTTCTAAAACACAGATTTACTATATACAAAATATTTTCTTTTTATATTCAATACTTGACTTGACTGTACTTAGCATTGCCATCAGGCCAGTTTTCACCTGGATAAGCCAGTTTTTAAATTCATGGTCCAGATTAATTAATTATTTGTTCAGTTTTTGTAGAAATTGTGAAATTATGCTAAAACAAACTAAATTTATAAAAATATTTGCGAGTATTTTATTTTAACGGTTAAAGCCGTTAACTTCACACCCCCACCCAAACTTATTCCTAGGCTAAGAGTGACAGAAAGTGTACTTTTAAAATTCTAACTTGCAAATATCTCTGGCAAATATTAAGTTT